GGATGTGGGGGCTCTGGGCAGCGGGACACGGGGAGGGGGTGCTGCATTCCAGCCCCCTTGGACCGGTGTGCACCCCCAGTCTGCAAAGGCACGGGTGCCCCAAGGCTGCAGGAGGGGAGTGTGCCCCTGGGGAGGGCAGCCCATGGGGGGGCAGGTTTGATTTGCCCCCGTGATGTGTTAACGTCTCCCTTTGGGCGTTACACAGGTGTGAAAGTGTGGGTTTGTGTGTGTGCCTGGCACACGCTGGGGTGTCTGGGCGCAGAAGGGGTGGTGTGTGCACATGGGCAGTCACATCCAGGTTGGTGAGTGGCTGGCTGCTGGGAACCATCTCTGGTCCTGCCTGGCACCTCCAGATGCTAGACTCTAACCCATCCCTTGGCACGGAGCAAGTTAAGATATTTAAGTTTGCAGCTGGCTGCTGGGAACCATCTCTGGTCCTGCCTGGCACCTCCAGATGCTAGACTCTAACCCATCCCTTGGCACAGAGCAAGTTAAGATGTTTAAGTTTGCATTTTATAGCATCCCCAGCTAATGAGAGAGAAGGAACGCTCTAGCATGGAATAGAAAGAGAAGAAATTTTCTTTTTTTGAGGAAGACAAGAGGCATGGTTTCCCTTTACCACTGATGGGAGAGCTGGAAAGCTGATTTTGGCACACGCTGGGGTGTCTGGGCGCAGAAGGGGTGGTGTGTGCACATGGGCAGTCACATGCAGGTCGGCGAGTGGCTGGCTGCTGGAAACCATCCTGGTCCTGCCTGGCACCTCCAGATGCTAGACTCTAACCCATCCCTTGGCACGGAGCAAGTTAAGATATTTAAGTTTGCATTTTATAGCATCCCCAGCTAATGAGAGAGAAGGAACGCTCTAGCATGGAATAGAAAGAGAAGAAATTTTCTTTTTTTGAGGAAGACAGAGCCATGGTTTCCCTTTACCACTGACGGGAGAGCTGGAAAGCTGATTTCCCCCTCCCGAAAAGTCTAGCTCATTTATCTTGCTCTGTGCCACAAGCCATTCCCTCCGCAATCAAGAACTTCAGAAGGAAATTAAATTAAAGCTGGGTGCGTTTCTGAGGGGGGTAGCAGAGGCGGGGGGGGGGCTGGCAGCCGCGGGGACGCAACGGCTTTGGGCATCACGGGACGAGCTGTGAAAGGCTCTAGCATCTCCACTTTTTTGGCTTTCATCTCGGGGTGGGGGCATGCAGCAGGCTGCTATATCAGTTCTGTGTCACACGTATGTATGTGTTGAGTTTCAAAGTTATCCCCCCACGTTTATAACCTTGGAGATCCTGTCTGTTTTTCCTTCTTTCTGACCGACGGGTTTGCGGTGTGTAAGGGCTGGGCAGACCTGGTAAACCTTTCTCCTCCGGGCTGTACTTTGGCTAACCCACCTCATCAAATCCGCCCCGATCCGTGCGGGTTGCAGGCAGAGCCGTGAGGAATGCAGAGAGAGAGAGGAGTTTCAGGGCAGGCAGTCCCGGGGAAGGTTTCTCCAGCTCCGTGTGGGCTGGAGAAGCGCCAGGCCAGCCCGAGGCCAGGCTGGAAAGGCATGTAGGAAGGGTGGAGGATGCTGACGGGGAGGTGCTGAGCATAGGAGGGGCAAACTGAAAATTAATTAAGATATGTATCATATCCAGAGGTACTTGCCACTGCCAGACAGGTGTTCTTGGAGCTGGGCTAGGCCAGGAAGCCTTAGATTGTTTGGGAAGAGGGTGTTACCTAGCAGTTTAAACAGGGCACTGGAGTTAGGGCTGGTGTTCCTCCCCAGTTGTGGAAGGGAGAGAGAAGTTGCTTGGGGGATGGAGATTGAAGGCCAGGAGTTATGGTTGGAAAAGACCACTGCTTTCCATCTTGATTCAGTTCTCCAGGAGCCCTGTGAATAGTGAGAGGGAAATCCTGGTGAGGTGAGGTGGGGAAAAGGAACACACAGGGGCACGTCACGAGACGTCACGAGAAATACCCATGGGACCTTGGATTAAGTTTTCAGGAGTCGCTCTGTGTCTCAGTTTCCCTTGCTGCACGGTGACAGTGGTTCTTAGTGTCAAAGTGGGTTGTACTCAGTGTTGGGGAAGGCATTTGAGCTGAACTGAGGTGTTCAAAGAACAGTATAATGTGTGTGGTGTGGAGCAAACATCCTTGCCCCATGGGCCACGCACCACGGGCATTTTTAGGTACCAGGAGAAGCAGTGACCATGTATCGCAAGCAGCAAAGCACCGTATGGGTTAATTTCTCCTTTCCATTCTCCCTTTTGCTGTTAGCCTTGGGTTTTGTACTTGGCTGCCATGGTCTTTGTCAACAGGGTAAATCAAAGCAGCCTCTGTGCGCCGTGATTGTGAAGGTAGAGAAATTTTCAAAGGTTGAGGTAGGCACTGACAGAGGAGAAGGCGATGGAGGAAGCCGGCTCGCGTCCGTAGGCAAACTGTAGGTAGATTTACGGCGTCTCCTTTCCCAGGAGCAGAAGTAATAACGCATGATGCGGGGGGATGTGAACTGTTTGGCATGGTGTTAAAATTCCATTTCAGCTTCCTTTCGGGAGATCTGTGGGGATCAGGTCAGCTCTCAAGCGCAGCAGCTTTGTGGGCAAGAATAATTAGCCACTCCAGACTTCAGCCATTATGTCTGGCAAAGCAAGGGGGGGGAAAACCCGTCCTGGTGACCCAGCTTTATTTATCAAGGCAGAGCTGCTATTTTTGCAAAGCCAGGAATGTGGAGGCCTTTGTCTGTTAGTGGGAACTCTATATGCAGTTTTCCAGTTTCCAGGTGTGAAGAGGTGGGTGAGTCTGAGGTAGGGAACACTTGGGAAGGTGACCAGAGGCTTGTCACCTAGTTAGCATCCATCTTTGCTGGTCAGAAACGGGCTGGTAGGTTTAGTAGTACTAGTCCCAAGGTGGGCAGGTGGGTATCTGAAGGGGACACACACACGCTGAATATGGATTTTCTTGGATCAGGTTCCAAGGTCCTTTTAGTGGAGTTGAGGTCCCTTGATCTCTTTGCTCCAGCTTCCTCATCTGTCAAAAAGAGTGAGTAAAACTGATGGGTCTTGCCAGAGGTAGACTCAAGCTGCAGGCTTTGAGAATCCATTTGGTTTTGTGGTTTTGGTTTCTTAGTTCCTTGTCTAGATGGACTCAGACTTGGATTATAGAGCGCCAGCACCCTGTGGTTTATTTGAAAAGATTGTTGAGTTCAGTGTTATAAAAAGACTTGGAAGAGGAAAGGGTACAACTCAAAGGTGTCACTGTAACTGCTCCAGCCTGGAGCACTTCCCATCTCCCAACTGCTGTGTCTCCTGCAGAAACGGCAGGTGGCCGTGCCCTGGAGAGCTGCTTGGATCCTACTGCTTGGATCCTGGCTCCAAAATTTGTTGGCAACATACTTGGTTTCGCTGGGGTCGTTTAGCCTGGCGTGTTCATACTCGAGGTGCTCATGTGCTTCTGGACTTTGGACCAAGCCCACGGCTGCTGGTGCCACTGGAGCCTGGGGAACACTTGTATTCACCCCACTTTAGGGAAAAACTTCCATACCCTGCACATGGAAGGCATTTTGTAGGTGCTCAGACTAGGCTGGAGGAGCTGCTTCCCGGTGTGGTGAAGCTGATGGGCTAAATACAATACATCAGTTTGATGTCAGGAGTTGCCAGGAGGTTGTTCATGTGCATCTGTATGGCGTGGGGTCCACGTGGGAGAACCTGCCCCTCAGAGGATGGGGAGAAGGCAGATTGTGGCCAGAGAGAGGGCAGATGTTGAGGCAGATACTTTGGCAATAGCATTCAGCTGTCTCTGGTTGTGTCTGTAAGAAGCATTAGGGACACAGTTCATCTTCCAGGACCACAGACAATTAAGGGGTGAAGGCAGGAGGAATGCCAAGGAGCAGGAAATACTGACTGTGTGAGATGCCCTCAGCATCCTGGTCTGTGGGGTCCGGGGAAGCCGAGCCCTTTGGCCAGAGTGTCTCCTGCTCCCGGGGTCTCGGGGCTGTGCTCATTGCCCTTTGGTTGCAGGGCCCTGACAAACGCTGTGCATCAGCCTTTCTCTCTGCAAAGACGTTCCTGAAATACCCAGCAAAGATTTTTGGATTGGGTTCTTCCCATCTGCTCTTGCTACCATTTGTTCTTTCACCGCCTGATTCCTCCCCTCGGCGTCGCAGAGGCTTTTCTTTTCACTCCTGAGCTCTTCGGGCACATCCTTCTCCCTGGACATGTTCTCTCTCCTCCCGTTACCTACCCCAGCCTCGCATCCCCCTCTGCTCTGACTGCTGGATCCCTCATTCTCCAGTTTTTGCACTGGGAGGATTCCTCACCGGATCCCAGCTGGCTGAACGTTACGTGGTGCAAAGGCCAAAGAGCTTGACCTGATTTAACTAATTTGGTTTTAGCACCACTTTGGATTTTGAGGGAGCGATTTCCCCTGGCAGCCATAACCCAGACCCTCTCTGCGTCCAGGCCCAGTTGCTGCCCCAGAAGGGCAGTGTCAGTATGTGTCTCCTTCTGCCTGGAAATCCCAAACACCATTTTTAGAAAGCCCTTTCATTTTATTTATTTTCCCTTCCTGGCACAGACAGTGTCTGCGGATGGCGAACCAGCAAGGAGCTGTGCGCTGCTTGCCTATTACCTCAGGTTTAAAGTGTCTCTTCCTATCAAATGCAAAGCAGAAGAAAGCAGAGCTTTCATGCATTCTTTCCCCCCTCCCTCTCCCATCCGTTCTAAATTTATTTCCATGCCTTGCCGGTTTCAATCTGCATTTCCTGACCCTCTCACATCTCCAGTCACAGCCTGCGCTCCCAGCCTGCCTTTTGAGCTGGGAGGGAGTCGGGGGGGAGCACTGCTCTGGGCTTGGGAGGATATGATGGGGTTAAAGTGAAAGGCTTGGTTTTAACAGTATAATGTGTAACCCCATAATGACTTTAAATATTGATTATTTGAAGGCCATTAGTGCTTATTGTTAAAGAAAAGTCGATACTTTTTAAGCCTTGTGAACCATTTGTCTCCTGTTAAAGGACATATCAAATTTAGCAGCATGCAGTGCAAGGGGAAAGAGGGGGGCAGGGGGAGGAATACGCAGTAACACAGAATTGCTCTCTGCAAGGTAAGGACAAGGCGTATCAGATGTAATTGCCAAGGGCTAAATTCACATTCTCAGAGTATGGGACTGCGACCCAGCCCTTGCTCTGACGGGTGGAAAAGAGGAGGAAGGAAATTAATGGGGGGGGCTGAACGCCGATACCTACCTGGGAAAAGATGTAAGGATTTGTGTTTTGGTCCATGGCTGTCTAAAAGCACAGTAGGTGCTTTGTTAAGATCTCTGGGCTTTTTTTACTCTGGGGTTGCCAGTTCATTTCCAAGCTTGTTGGAAGCAATTGGCTGTGTCTGTACCAGGCAGCCTGGAAGTGCAGTGCCAGGACAGGACCTGGTTCTCCTCCCTCACCAGGTTTCCATGCCAAGGATCAGGCAGATGGGCTGAGCAGGATAACCAAGTTCTGTCCTGCTGGGGACTGATGCTGAGCGTTAGAGGGGTGGCAGGAGAGGTGCAATGACTCCTTCACCTTTGGCCATAGGTGACATCCCTTCTCTGACCTCAGGCCACCAACTCCATGGGTGTAACGGTGCCAGGCGTGGGACCTTTGGCTGGTCCTGTTTGTGTGGCCTCACCAAGCAGCTTTGCCTTATGCACATGTTTGGTGGAGAGCTCCAGGGTTGCTGAAAGAACGACTCTGGGGTCTCTGTGTGGTCTGCTGTGTCAGGCAGGCATGATGACAGCATGTGTGAATGTGTCTCCCTGAGTTTTCTAAACCTCTGGACTCATCCCCAGCATGTGTTGTGTGTGTAACACAACCAGGGACCCACCTCTCACAATCGAAGTGGCTCCTGATGGGCTCTTCCAGCCCCTTCTGAGCCACCACAGGCTGTTGTGCTCAGCTCTGTGTGTGGCATCTGATCAGGTCCTGCAGCATTTCCTTCCCCAGCTCGTCCCCTCCTTCCCTGGCTCATCCCTGCCCTCCCCAGCTCATCTCCCCCTTCCCCAGTCCATCCCTGCTTCCCACCATTCCCTGGCCAGTCCAAAGTGTGAGCTGGTCCCTGGCCCCCAGAGGCAGGGCAGGAGCACAGCTCTGACAGAGGGAATGAACCGCAGGGTCTGGAGCAGATGTGAATTCCTTAGGGATCAAAGTTGGGCCCTGCAGTGCGACATTAAAGCATAAAAATAGCCTCTGATTAACATTGGGCTGCCACCAAAGGGAGAACCTTGTATTTTCCAGTGCCCAGTCCTGATCCCCATCAAACAATATCCTTCCTGGGCACAGATTGTCTCTTCTTGGCTAAAATGTAGACGCTCTCTTTGTTTTTAGCATTTCCTTCTGAGCTCTCTGTGTGCAGGAGGCACCTGGGGCTTCTGTGCGTCGTTCCCTCTCTTGCAGGATCCCCTTCCCTGCGTCTGTAAAAGGCAGGGAGGGCACGGGCACCGCTTGCCTGGCCGTGGAATGGTTAAAAGCGACTTGATTTCCTAAATTGCTTCTTATAAAACGAACAGCACGTCTGCCAGGCTCGTCTCCCCATGATTACAGCTAATTACGATCGAACGGACACCTCCTAGCCCCCGTCATGCCGCTTTAATTGTCCGTTATTCATCTGCAGGCTGTCCGGGGTGGCAAAGCACTTGGCAGCCCAGCGACCGAGGCCTCGGCTAATTGTGAGGCCTCGGGGATTAGGGCAGGTGATTACACACTTCATGGTGTAATTACATGAGCATCGCTTGGCTGCTGCCCCGGCTCCGAGCCGAAGGTCGCGGGCTGCGTTACCTGAGATTAATTGGAGCTGCCACTGAAGTGCGAGGTGCTGGCGGAGCGGTTATACGATTAGCATTAACATTTCAACAGCGACGGATCGATCTGTGGCTCTCCTCCAGACACAGCGAGCTGTGCAATTAGTTTAGAGGAGAGCTAGGGGAGGAAGGAGGAGGAAAGGAGAGAGGGAGACAGGCAGGGGAAGGGGAGAAGGGGAGGAGAGGCAGACGGGAAGTGGGGGGGGGAGGCAGAGACGGGCAGATGGGCGAGGGGTAGGGAGAAGGAGGAATTTTGGGGGGGAGTCTCACCCCTTTCTGCGCTGTGGATCGGTGTGTGGCAGGGTTTTGCTGTGGCTGCTGCATAGAATGAGGAGAAAAGTACACTGGGAAGATCTAGAGGAAGGACAGGTATCCTTCCCTTGCCCACCTCATGCCCAAAGGGTCCTCATCTGGCTTTTCATGAGCCGTGGTGATAATCCCTCCCCAGCTGTGTGGGATGGGGGGTGGCTGGGGGTCTCTCATTATCCCGCATCCGCACATCATCCCCCCGCTGAGAAGGGGGACCACGGTTGGGTCTGAGGTTTGTTTGTTGCAAAGTCACACACACCTTCTTTGCTCCCTTTCTCTTGCCCTCCAGTCTCTCCTGAAGCAGATTTTATAGGGAGATATTGTAAAATGAAAATGAACGGCACAGCACTTGGCTTTGCCTCTAGATGCCCTGGTGAAGGTAATAATGTTGTAAGTGGCCATCAAAAGGAATTAAGAGACGTGCAGCCGGAAAGCAGAGATTTGCTTGCAGGCTCCCAGGGCGGATTTGACTAATGGAAGAGACCTTGGCTCTTATTCCCTTCCTGCCTTTTTTTTTTATTATTATTTCCACCCCCCTGCAAGCGCGCGCTACCTGCCTTGCTTCCAGGCATTGTCCTCTTCCCCACCCATCAAACCTGCCACTTCCAGCTTACTTGTCACCTTATATCTGCTCTGCCCTTTCTGGCCAGCATCACCCACCCCTTCTCCAGCCCAGCTCCTTTCCACTGACCCCGTGGCGCTTCCTGCTCACATCCCTCTCCCCATCTCTCCTGTCTGTGTCTTTCTCTGCCTCAATCACAGCCTTTCTCTCCGGAATTAAAGATCACCCAGCAAGGACAGTGATTGTTTTGCAAGGCATGCCAGAGATGCCTTCAGATCTTCCCAGATTGGCATCCCAAAATATAGAATGCCTTTTCAGTTGTCAGGTAGTTGAGACAGAAACCCAAGCTTGCTAAGGGGACAGGCAGATGCAGCATCTTCAGCCTTGCCTTTGCTCGCCCTGGGCAGCCAACAGCCCAGCTGAAGGGCCACAGAACCAAACATGTCAAGATGGGAAGTATGGGAACCCTTCTGGTTCTGCTTCTTCTCTTTTTTATTCTCCGTTTTCAAAGTTTTGCATGCGGGTGAATCTTCTGTCTCAGAACAGCTGCTGGTGCAGGACTCAGGTCATCTGCAGAAAGGATGTTCTTCCTGAGCCTGGGCCTTCAGGGCTCTGTGGATGGAGCCTCCAAGTTTTCAACACGAATTTATTTTTTGGTTTCTGCAGGGAGATATCCCACCCGCCGCCTCTGCTCTCACCCCAGAATGCACCCCACATTGCCCTGGGCCCCCACTTGAGACCTCCGTTCCTCGGGGTGCCGTCAGCTCTGTGCCAGACGCCAGGTGAGTGGTGGAGAAGGGTTTGCAGGGGGAGGTGGGGGGTGGGAAGGTGCAGGCTGTGACAAACTGTCCTTTAACCGAACAGCCCAAACCCATTTTCTGTGTTTCCCCGTTGCTGTTGTGCTTCTTCACCTTTGTTTTGCAGTGACAGGAGCAGGTCGCCTTGGCTGCTCTCTCTTTTCATCCCCACCATCCTCCCTGGTCCCATGTTTCAGCATCAGGCTGTGCTGCCTGGGGAGCGAGGGAGAAGATGGGCTGTAGAACAGAAAGGCAGCTCTTGGTTGCCCTTTCCTGCTCTGTTTGCCCTCTGGGGAGCCGGCCCTGCGTTAGCAAAGAGTCAATGCTGAGATTAATAACCCCCTATTATTGTTCTCCCTGTCCCCAGGTTACGGGTTCCTACAGCCGGCACAAGCGGAGATGTTTGCACGGCAGCAGGAGATGCTACGAAAGCAAAACCTGGCAAGGTAAGGAGTGTGGAGGGGTGGCCTCCTGGGCTTGGGTTGGATTTTTCCTTCCCTTTCCTAGAAGCAGCTAATGCAGGGTGCTGTGTGCAGGAGACAGAGCGGTGACCAAGTAAGACCCATGGAAACCACGTGTGGGTGTGGAGGTGGCACCTTGGTCCCACAATCTCTGGTTCAACGTGGCTGAGGGGTAGCAAGTGACTCGTGTAGCCCCCCATTGATGTTCCCTCTCCGCCTCTCCCCAATTCAGGTTAGAGATGTCGGCCGAGATCATCCGCCAGAAGGAGCTGGAGAACCTCCACAGGCAAAGGCTACTGGCTGGTGACCCCCTGAGCCTGCATCCCGGCTTGCCCCCGGACCACCCGGCCCTGCGCAACGTGCACGACATCCCCGAGGGCCACCCGCTGCGGGAAGAGCTGTCCCGGAGGAACGCCATGCTGGTGCTGCGGCACAACAACACCCCCCTGCTCTCCCTCAACCCCAGCGTCCCCAGCAGCGCCACGCCGCCCAAGGAGCAGCCCCGGCGCGGCAGTCGGAAATCGGCACATCACCGCGCGGAGCCGCAGGGCCTGAGTGAGGCCAAGGAGCTGGCGGAGCCCCGGGTGAGGGACGGGGCACCGGACTGTAACGACGAGGAGATGAAGGACTCGGAGAGCGACGCCGACGTGAGCGACGAGAAGCCGGAGAGCCTGAAGGCGGAGAGCAGCGGCTCGGCCGCCGAGCTGAAGGAGTGCAAAGAGACGGGCAAAGTCTGCGAAGGGGCCAAGGAGTTGGGCGAAGCCTCCTCTGGCCAAAATGCCCCCTGCAGCTCCTCCAGCGCCGAGTCCCCCAGCCATTTGCTTGGCCCGGGCATCAACAAAAACGAGGTGAAATACCTCCCGCCGGCCTCCATCCCACCGCCTCAGCCGCTGCCCTTCGGGTTCCCTTACACCATGAGCCCCTACTTCCACGCGGGTGAGTCCCTGTCGCTGGGTCACTGGCTGGAGCAGTGACATGTTCTGCAGAGTGCTAAAAGTGGGACTCTTCCCCACGTTCTGCGGTGTGGCTGTAGTTCTTTTGTCTCTGCAGGGAACCAGGCACCTTCTCTTAATTAGTATAAAGGACTCCCATTTGCAATGGAGCAAATCAAGGGTCATGAAGGGGGTCAGTGGGGACAAAGTGGGTCTCAAGCACTTGAGAAGGGAGATGGCAAAATGATGGATCTCGCAATTGCTTGGGCCTTCATGTGTCCCAGGACAGATGCCAGTAAACTGTAGGGGGCTTCAGGGAGAGGCAACAAAAATTATTAATGGCTGCAAAGCCCTGCCCTACAAAGTAAAGGCTCAGGAGTCTCTGGAAGGGTGGCCTGAAAGGCTGTGCAGGCTGCTGGGCTGTGCTCATGGGATTTCCAAGCAGTGGGGATTGGAGGGGCTGGGATGGAGAGAAACACCCAGATACAGCAGGACAAAGGGATGGAAGGAATGCTTCCTGGGGCAGGTTGGGTCTGCCCTGCATGGGCAGCAGCTGTGGCACAGGGGGAGGTGGGGATGGCACTGGGGAGGTGTGGGGATGGCACTGGGGAGGTGTGGGGCTGGAGTGGGGCTGGCTGCTTCCCACGTGCTCCGTTCTCCCTCTGCACCATCGGAAATGAAGGATTAAGGCTGCAGTGTTTTCCTCCTTGCTGAGTGTCATATCTGAGGCATTTCCAGGGTAGCAGGTGAGATGGCACCTTTGGGATGGGGTGTCAAAAGAGTTCCCCAGTGGTGACATACACATTTTGGCCTGCCTGTGCCCTCGGGGGTGTCAGAGCTACCACTGCTGTGCCCCTTTCCCAGGGCAGAGGGAGATGGGCTCTTTCCCCTGCCCGTGGTGTATTTCTTGGTCTCCCAGGCACTGGTAAAGCTGGGCTGGTGCCTGTTGGATGGGACAGGCAGGCAGGGAAGTCCTTGCCAGCTCTCTGGTCCCCACGGGGCTGTGGAGATGTGCAGCAGAGGCAGGCACAGCTGGAGCCAGACAGGAGTCCTGGTGCTACAAACTGGGGTTTCAGACCCCGGTAACTGCTCTGCACAGGGGACTCCTGTTGGCAGAGCAGGGTGGCAGCCCCGCTAGCCTAGCCGGGAGCCAAAATCTGCCTCAGCTAATTACTTGGCTGAGCAATTAGCGGGAGGTAGGACCTCCTGCCACGTGGAGGGGGAAGAGGGGGGGGAGGACATGGCATGTGGGGCGCTGAGGCTGCCTGTTTTCTATGCAAAGAGCCGCCGTGGTTGTGGAGGTGGCTGCCCATTGCTCATTAGAGCTGCCTCCAACCAGGAAGGAGGAAGCGATTTTTCTATGACAGGCAGGTGGCCAACATGATAAATATTCCTGCTGCCTTGGGCTGCTGAGGCTTCCTCGCAGGAGCCTTTTTCTCCCGGCCATTAAAAAGGGAAAGGCAGGGCTCTGTGGTGCTCATGGCCTGTGTGAGGCTCTGCAGGGAGGCCTGGGTTGTAGATGGGTTTCCTCCCTCCCCCAGCAACGCGCCAGTTACTGTAATAGGCCATTTATTATTATCACTTCGAATTTATATCACAGTCGTGTCTTGAGGCCTCGGCAAAGATCAGGGCTGTGTTTCACTGCCCAGTTTCCAGGCACTTCTGATTTGTGGAGCCTATTCCAGAGCTGTAGGTCTTTTCCTGAGGGCTCTTTGGCTTTTTGGCCAGCTTGGCGTGCTGTCGTGGCTCTTAGTATTGCCTGTTTGTGGGACAGCAGCGCTGAGATTTGCCCCGTTATGCTGGGCACTGCACAACTCCACAGCAGAAAGTCTCACCCAAAACAGGCTCGGGAAGATGGGGTGTCTTGTCTGGTGCAGCAGAGCAGGTCCACAGGGGAACTGGGAGTTCAGGAGCTGAAATATTGAGGGCTGTATTGATCCAAGTGCTGCGGGGATCGTGGGCTGCGCTGGAGTAACGTGTGTCGATGAAATATGTGTTATTTTTGGCCCTGGGGGAACACAAACCACCTGAAGTCAGACAGACAGAGCCGTACCCGCCTCTCCCCCGGTGCCAGGTAATTTCTGTAATCCCTTTTTTGCCCAAGGAGTGCTTTTCTGGCCAGGATGGTCATGCTGTTGTGCTGTTACACTGGAGGCTGGTATTGGAAAGGAGCCACCCAAACAAGGCAGGTAACACGGGAGGCCAAAAGGAAGAGCCAGAGGGAGGAGAGGAGGGAAGTGCTTGGCTGAAAACGACCTCTGAGTTTCAGGAGGCAGCTCCTCTGGTCTTTCAGCAAGGAGAGGCTCCAGCTTTGGAGGCAGAGAGCTGGTTTTTGTCCCTACTGGGAAGAATATCGATGAGGCAGCCAGAGCTGGGTCGATTCCCTGAGCTGCCTTCTGGGGATCCGGCGGCTGCTGGATGACCTCATCTCCTCAAGGTTTCAGCAGCCCTGCTCCCCTCCTCCTCCCACCGCCCTCCTCCAGCCCCGTCCTTTGGAAAAGGTGAAGGATGGAGTGTGCAGGAGGCTAAAATCCTTCTATCGATCTGTAGTCTGGAGAGCAATTAACGCAAGCCTTCCAGTGCCACGCCACGACCCGAGCCCTCTCCGCTGTGTGGGAAGGAGGGGGTGCAGCACAGGGAGGAAGGGGGGTGAAACTCATTAAACCCCCAGGTGGGCTGGCTTCCAAGGGGGTCTGCTTTGTGTGCTGGTCTCCCAGTTGGCACCTGTGATGCCAGGGGCAAAGCCTCACTGGTTTCCATGCAGCATAGACAACCCTGGCTGCTGTGTTTCCAGCAGAGGTTTCCCTTACTGGGATGGCCAGAAGGGTTGCTCGCCCCGACCCGTTCAGCCTTTGGCTTCTCTTGTGAAGCAGCTGGACATCAGGAGGAGGGAGGGAAAGTTATAAATGGGTTGCAGCACGGGTGGCGAGGGCTTCTGCGTGGACACCTGTCCACAAGACGCTGGCCTGGGACGATGGATTCCTTTCAGCCCCTACACGCTGGGCCCCATCTGGTGAGATGCTCTGTAATCCATTACCGGTCTCTGGGACCGTCATTTATCATAGAGGAGACAGAGGAGGCCTGGCAGGGAATAGATGCTGCCCTTTATGCCTCCTCGCCGTCCGGCAGGATGCGGTGACATGTCATTATTATAATAGAAGGTGCGTCCCCTCCAGCCGCTTGGCACCGATTTGTTCTCATTCTCCAAACTGCCAGAGCAGAGTGAGAGGGGGCAGCCGGGCGTGGAGACGGAGCAGACGGTGCTGTACCTTCCCGAGGAGGGACGGGAGGAAGGACAGGAGCCCTTCTGCTCTGGGGGCTTCAGGATCAGAAAGGGGGCAGTGCCTGGATGGGGTGTGCTGAGTGCCGGTGCTGTACTATATACACACTGAGGCCAGAGGGCTGCAGCTTCTGTGTCCTCCTACACAAGTCCCTCCTGGTGACTTCAGACCAGTGACAGGGCTGAGGTGGGAGCAAAAGGGCAGGGGGACACCTGAACACCAGGCTCTACAGCCCCCACTTCAGGGGTGCTGAGCACACAGAACGGGGACTGAGTCCTTGGGGCTACTGGGGCTGAGCTCCTCTGCCATCACCATGAGATTTTGGGCGTTTCTGCAGGGAACAGGGGTGTTTTGCCACCAGCTTCAGTGGCAGTAGGTTTCTACCCTCCAGCTTTTAAGTTCTGTGGCCCAGAGATTGCTAAAAGGCCAGAACCCAAAGTATTGGTATTTACCTTCCCCCTCCCAAGAATATTTCCACCAGTCAGTCCCTGGTTCCCTGGTATAAAAGGGAAGGGAAAACAAACTCTCGGAGATAAATATTTTGGCCGTATTCTATTTCTCTGTGTGTGGGTACATGGAAAATATTTCTTGTTCCCAGATGGGGAGCCTGTCTTGCCCTCGCTCTTGGACACAGCAGGCTCTCTGTGTGTGCGGCTGTGCGCGCCCTGACCTCTCCCTGCCTTTCTTCTGGGGCCACGAAGAGACAAAGGGAAGAAAACCACCGAGGAGAAGGGCTTCTGTAGGAGAAGCTGTTGGTAGCTCAGCTCTGCTGGCCACGTCAGTGACCCTGCAAATGATCCTGGTGCCAGGATTGCAAGCGTGTGTGCAGGAGAGGGAAGCCTTACACCTTCCCCTTCATCCCTGCCAGCTGCCAGAGCAGCATTTGGGCAAAAAATCTCTGCCCAGCACTGGTGGGGACCTGGAAAAGTGTGTGTGTGTGTGACTGGTGAGGGCTCGCCAGCCTCTCCCCGCAGGCTGAGGTTAAACCCTGAGGCTGGGGCTGGCTGGTGAGTGGAGAATTTATTCCCAAGCGCTGCGTTGCTGCAATTCAATCCTTGGCTTGCTTTTGGAATAAGGAAGTACCTAATTTTAAAGCAGTTGGCTGTTACAGTCAGATCCCCTCGGAGACGCTCGCTCTGGCTGCAGATGGAGGTGTCTCGCCCCAGCATTGACTGTGCCTGGAATAATTGAGTTCAATTTCGCTTCCTCTATTTACCAAGCTGCAGCCACTCTTCCAAAAAAAAGAGAAAGAAAATTACCCCCCACCCTCAGAAAGAAAAAGCCTCCCCCCAAACAGCAAAAAAAAAAAAAAACCCCAAACAGGGAAAAAAAAAAAAAAAAGCCCTCAGCTATTTGAGTGTTTTGTGAATTTTAACATAAGCAGCTGTGAGTTTGTCTCCTGGAAAATGGAATGCAATAGGAATGGGATTGAGGGCTCGTGTCCATCTGTCTGTCTGTCTGTCTGGTCGCTGGGGGTGGCGAGGGGAAGGAAAGTGCTCGCTGGCCCTTTGGCAACGGGCTCTGCCTCCCGTGCTGACAGACCCCTCGCTGGAAAGGCAGCCCTTCAGCTGGTACTGGGCACACACCAGTGTCTGGAGCTTTTTCCAGCTGGGAGAAGAAGGGGTGTGAAGAGAGCCAGGACGTGGGGAGGGTCTCCATGGGCAGAGCTGCTCCTGGGAGCAGCAAATGGAGCATCTTGTGAGGCTGGGACTTGGGAGAGGGTCCCGTGCCTGCTGGAAGGAAAGGTGGTGGTAGGGAGTAAGGATTTGAAGGGGGTGGGAATCATAGAAACATGGAATGGGTTGGGTTGGAAGGAACTTAACGATCATCTAGTTCCAACCCAGCCATGGACACCTTCCACTGGACCAGGTGAAGGTCTGGTTGTTGCTCATGGTGAATGCCCTGAGGGTCCCAGGCTGGTGCTCAGTGCTGGTGAGGAGCCTCCAAAGATGTGCCCGAGGCACGGGGAGAGAGAGGGACAGCCTTGTCCCTGCTCCAGAGGGGCAGGAGGCCTTGGAGGACTTCTGCTTCTCCCCACGGCAGAGGTGGCACCCGTCTGCTGGCACTGGCCCATGTGTGTATGGAGGAACGCGGATTCATCCCCATTTTCTGGGGGTGTTGGTGAGCAGGGGCTTGTCCCTCCTTCCCCAGGAGCTGGAGGGTCCCTGTGTCACCCCCCGCGTGCCCCGTGGGCTGTGCCCACAGCCAGGGCTCTGTGGTGGAGAGCGGGGGGGATCGGGAAGGGGGGGAGGAAGTTGGGAGCGGAAAGGCAGGGGAAGTGATTACATGGTGTGTGACTGTGCCCTGTGCAGGCTGCTGCTGCTGCTGCTGCTTCACAAGCATCTTATTGGCACGATGACTTCCTCCCTAAATCCTGTCCCTTTCCTGCTGCCTCCGACTGTGCTGGTGGCTTTGCCAATGGGCTACTGGGGACTCGGCGGGTGGCTTTGCTCCTTCTGTGCCTCTTCCTGCACCTCTTGCCCCTGACTAGCTCGGTTCCCCGGGGCACCGGCCACTCCTCCTGCTGGGGTTTCTGCTCCCCATCATCATTTTGTTGTGTCCCACTTTGCCTTGTTGTTACTCTCAGAAGTGCTCTCTGACCCGCTCTGGACGGATCGGAGAGGTTGCATCCTTGGGGCTGATCAGGAGCCTCAGGAAAAAACTTGAAGCCAACAAAATAGATAATTTTGTCAAGATAAAGCCCTGGGAGAAAGATTTTTTTTATTTATTTTTTTTTTTCCTGGTAATTTGTTGCTTCGTGCCCCAAAGCAAAGCAGTTTATGCTCCTTGTAAAGTCTTTCTTTACCCACCATAAACACGAATGTTCACATCCTTATAGATGTCCTCTTGATCTCTTGGTCTCAATGCTATCATGCAGCAGGGAGTTCCACAGGTTAATAATGACATCTCCCCCCTTCCCTCCCCCCAGGTGGTGCTTTCTGGAGCTGGGTTTCTTCATTACTTGTTTCTGCCTTTTCCCTTTTACCCTCTGTTGCAGACAGGAGTCACTTGGCTGGTGTTCCTCTCCCCATTTCTTATTCTCTCCAGCTCCTCTCTGGTCTCCAGCCCCATTTTCTCCCCCTGTGCTGTCAGGCGCCGCGACGCAGGGCCTGGGGATGGGGAGGGGGAGGCGGGGAGCGCATCTTCCACCCTTTTGGAACCCATCACCTTTCTCTCTGCTGACAGGGCTGGGACCTGAACCGCTGTTGCGTTGCGGAGAATTGACACACGGGCTTGACCTGAGCTGCGGGGGCTGCGGGGGCTGGCAGGGGCCATCCCTCCCCGTCGAAGAGATGCCCGGCTCCGCGCCGTGGGGCACGGGGAGGGCCATGGTTTCTGCTGCCCTGGGGATGGAGCGATCCAGGGGGGTATTTCGGGCTGGGCTGGGTTGAAAAATGAGCACTTGGAAGGAGCAGGAGTCTCTTCTGCAGCGATTGGCGCCCGGCGAGGCAGCGGGGCCACCAGGGAGAGGTGCCGGGGCCCGTTGTCATTCGGAGCACGTAGCCAGGAGAAGGGTTGGGGGGAAGAAACCCACAGGGCAGGCAGAGTTTTCCGCTTTGCGGTGCGTGTGGAGAAACACTCCTCC